TACCCAAACGCAAAGCCAGACGAGACGCGTTGCAAACTAGCCAAACTAACGCTGACCTCTTGCTACTACGTCAAACGATTTCGAGCTACACACTCACACGCAAAGCCAGACAAACGGTGACGCGTTGCAAACTACATCAAACTTTTTCGCCCGAACGCAAAGCCAGACAAACGGTGACGTCGTCAAGCTATTCCCATCTTCACACCCACACGCAAAGCCAGACAAACGGTGAGCTGTTGCAAACTACGTGAAACTATTTCGATCTACACTCCCAAACGCAAAAGCCAAACGATGACCTGCTGCAAACTACGTCCGACTATGTCGATCTACACACTTCAATGCAAAGCCATACAAACGGTGACCTGTTGCAAGCTACATCAAACTTTCAATTTGATTTTACACACCCAAACGCAAAGCCAGACAAACGGTGACGGGTTGCAAATTACGTCAAACTATTTCGATCTACACACCCCTACGCAAAGCCAAACAGCGGTACATGTTTCGATCTCCACACCCAAGCGCAAAGCCAGACAAGCGGTGATGTCTTGCAAACTACATCGAAATCTTTTGATCTACACACCCGAACGCAAAGCCAGACAAACGGTGACCTGTTGCAAACTACGTCAAACTATTTCGATCTGCACACCCATACTCGAAGCCAGACGGTGACCTGTTGCAAGCCACGCCAAGCTATTTCAATCTACACACCCAACGCAAAGCGAGACAATTTCGATCTACACACCCATACGCAAAGCCAGACAAACGGAACTACGCGCCCAAAGGCAAAGCCAGACAATAATTGAACTACACACCTGTACGCACAGCCAGACAAAGGGTGACCTGTTGCAACCTACGTCAAACTATTTCTATCTACACACCTAGAAGCAAAGCCAGACAAAGGGTGACCTGCTCAAACTACATTGTTTCGAACTACACAACCACACGCAAAGCCAGACAAACGGTGACCTGTTGCAAACTAGGTCCAACTATTTCGAACTGCACACCCAAACACAAAGCCAGAGAAACGGTGACGTGTTGCACACTGCGTCAAACTATTTCGACCTTTTCCCAACTACACACCCAAGCGCGAAGCCATACAAACGATGACCTGTTGCAAACTACGACAAACTACTTCGAGCTACACACCCATACGCAAAGGCAGACAAACGGTGACGTGTTGCAAACTACGTCAAACTATTCGAACTATTCCGAACTCCACAGATACGCAAAGCCAGACAAACGGTGATGTGTTGCAAGCTACACCAAAGCGTTTCGATCTATACACCGAAACGCAAAGTCAGACAAAGGGTGACATGTTGCAAAAAGCGTCGAACTATTTCGAGCTATGTCGACCTACGCACTCCAACGCAGAGCCAGACAAACGGTGACCTCTTGCATCCTGTTACAAACTACGTCAATCTTTGTCGAACTACACCCCATACGCACTACGTCAAACGATTTAGATCTACACACCCCAAGGCAAAGCCAGACAATCGCTGACGTGTTGCAAACTACGTCAAACTATTTCGAACTACACACCCAAACGCAAAGCCAGTCAAACGGTGACCTGTTGCAAACTACGTCAAGCTATGTCGAACTACACACCCAAACGCAGAGCCAGACAAACAGTCGTCAAACTTTTTCGAGCTACACACCCAATTGTAAAGCCAGACCAACGGTGACTCGTTGCAACCTACGTTAAGCTATAGACATTCTTTTGCGAACTACGCACCCATACGCGGCCCCAGACAATCGGTGACCTGTGGCAAACTACATCAATCTGTTTTGATCTACACACCCAAACGCAAGACCAGACAAACGGTGACGGGTTGCAAACCACGTCAAACTATTTCGATCTATTTCAAACTATTTCGAACTACGCACCCATATGCAAAACCAGGCGTGTTGCAAACTACGTCAAACTATTTCGAACTACACACCCAGACGCAAAGCCAGACACGCGGTGACGTTTTGCCAACTACATCAAACTGCTTTGAACTACACACCCAAACGCAAAGCCAGAAAAACCGTGACGTGTTGCAAACTACGTCAAACTATTTCAATCTACTCACCGAAACGCAAGGCCAGACAAACGGTGACGGGTTGCACACCACGTCAAACTATTTCGAACTCTTGCAAAGTACGTCAAACTATTTCGAACTACGCACCCAAACGCAAAGCCCGGCCAACCCCCACACACACAGCCACACCCACACCCACACGCACACGCACGTTCTTACGCGTATGAGCACGCGCCCCAGCACATTCCCACACACTCGCATACACACACACACACACACTGACCGAACATCCCCACGCGCGAGCAACAAGATGGCAAGCGAGGCAGCAATGCGTGCAACAATGGCTTAAATCAATGTGCAGGTTGCCAATAGCTTCATCCTTGCTGTCCAGAACTACTATTACGACCAGGATGGGGCCTCAAAACAAATGTTGTGGATCCTGAGTCCAACACTTTCTCAGGATGACTACTGGGGCAATGTGCTGCAGAGGGAGACTGAATTGGCTCTCTGGCTTTGACGAGATTTCACTCCCAGAGCTGAATGTCCGAAAGCCCAGCGAGGTCTTTACCATTTTTTTCACCTTGGAGTGTGCCTTGTGCTGCCTGTGCTGCCTGTGCTGCCTGTGCTGCCTGTGCTGCTTGTGCTGCCTGTGCTGCCTGTGCTGCTTGTGCTGCCTGTGCTGCCTGTGCTGCCTGTGCTGCTTGTGCTGCTTGTGCTGCCTGCGCTGCCTGCGCTGCCTGTGCTGCCTGTGCTGCTTGTGCTGCCTGTGCTGCCTTTGCTGCCTGTGCTGCCTGTGCTGCCTGTGCTGCTTGTGCTGCCTGTGCTGCCTGTGCTGCCTGTGCTGCTTGTGCTGCCTGTGCTGCCTGTGCTGCCTGTGCTGCCTGTGCTGCCTGTGCTGCTTGTGCTGCCTGTGCTGCCTGTGCTGCCTGTGCTGCCTGTGCTGCCTGTGCTGCCTGTGCTGCCTGTGCTGCTCCCTCCGCCCCCCAACCGTGCTGCCTGTGCTGCCTGTGCTGCCTGTGCTGCTTGTGCTGCCTGTGCTGCCTGTGCTGCCTGTGCTGCCTGTGCTGCTTGTGCTGCCTGTGCTGCCTGTGCTGCCTGTGCTGCCTGTGCTGCTTGTGCTGCCTGTGCTGCCTGTGCTGCCTGCCTGCTGCTTGTGCTGCCTGTGCTGCTTGTGCTGCCTGTGCTGCCTGTGCTGCTTGTGCTGCCTGTGCTGCCTGTGCTGCCTGCGCTGCCTGTGCTGCCTGTGCTGCCTGTGCTGCCTGTGCTGGCTGCCTGCTGCTTGTGCTGCCTGTGCTGCCTGTGCTGCCTGTGCTGCCTGTGCTGCTTGTGCTGCCTGTGCTGCCTGTGCTGCCTGTGCTGCTTGTGCTGCCTGTGCTGCCTGTGCTGCCTGTGCTGCCTGTGCTGGCTGCCTGCTGCTTGTGCTGCCTGTGCTGCTTGTGCTGCTTGTGCTGCCTGTGCTGCTTGTGCTGCCTGTGCTGCCTGTGCTGCCTGTGCTGCTTGTGCTGCTTGTGCTGCCTGTGCTGCCTGTGCTGCTTGTGCTGCTTGTGCTGCCTGCTGCCTTTGCTGCCTGTGCTGCTTGTGCTGCTTGTGCTGCCTGTGCTGCCTGTGCTGCTTGTGCTGCCTGTGCTGCCTGTGCTGCCTGTGCTGCCTGTGCTGCTTGTGCTGCTTGTGCTGCCTTTGCTGCCTTTGCTGCCTGTGCTGCTTGTGCTGCTTGTGCTGCCTGTGCTGCCTGTGTTGCCTGCGCTTGCCTGTGCTGCCTGTGCTGCTTGTGCTGCCTGTGCTGCCTGTGCTGCCTGTGCTGCCTGTGCTGCTTGTGCTGCCTGTGCTGCCTGTGCTGCCTGTGCTGCCTGTGCTTGTGCTGCCTGTGCTGCCTGTGCTGCCTGTGCTGCCTGTGCTGCTTGTGCTGCCTGTGCTGCCTGTGCTGCCTGGCTGCTGCTTATGCTGCCTGTGCTGCCTGTGCTGCCTGTCCTGCTTTTGCTGCCTGTGCTGCTTGTGCTGCCTGTGCTGCCTGTGCTACCTGTGCTGCTTGTGCTGCCTGTGCTGCCTGCTGCCTTTGCTGCCTGTGCTGCTTGTGCTGCTTGTGCTGCCTGTGCTGCCTGTGCTGGCTGGCTGCTGCCTGTGCTGCTTGTGCTGCCTGTGCTGCTTGTGCTGCCTGTTCTGCCTGTGCTGCCTGTGCTGCTTGTGCTTCTTGTGCTGCCTGTGCTGCCTGTGCTGCCTGTGCTGCTTGTGCTGCTTGTGCTGCCTGCTGCCTTTGCTGCTTGTGCTGCTTGTGCTGCCTGTGCTGCCTGTGCTGCTTGTGCTGCTTGTGCTGCCTGCTGCCTTTGCTGCCTGTGCTGCTTGTGCTGCTTGTGCTGCCTGTGCTGCCTTTGCTGCCTTAAGCTAGCTCGTGGGGCCTGTGCCAGATCGTGGCATACGGCTTTGTGGGGCACCCGCGGGCTTACATCCGCGATCCGTGGAACTGGGTCGACTTCCTCGTGGTGGCCGGGTACCATTTCAGTCATTTCTTGTATTGCAATGTGCTTGTTTGCTCTTGTTTGCTAGTGTGCTTGCTAGTTTGCTTGTTTGCTTGTTTGCTTGTGCGCAGGTTGTCGGCCTGCTGGCCGCCATGCAAGTAGAGGCCCTTTCCTTCCTGAAGCCGGCAGCAGCCTCGGCGAGTGCGCGAGTGCGCGAGTGTGCGAGTGCGCGAGCACGCGGTGTCCACGTCTCGCCCGTGTCCTTGCTTTAGGCTCGTGTGCTTCGGCCTCTTCGTTCCTTGTCTGCCGTGTCGGACCCTCAGCCCTAGCTGGCCCGCAGGCGCGGCAGGCGCGGGTGCCGACATGCCGCTAATGCCAGGCCTGGAATTCGACGACTCTTTCACACCATTATCCTATCGCTGCCCGGTCTTAAGGAGTCCAGTCTTGCCTCATCTTGCCTCTCTCCCCTGGTGCATGCCACATGCCTTGCAAGGACGTGGTGCTGCTCGCAATATTTCTTCTTATCATGTTTGGCGTGTTGGGGCGGGGGGCTTGAACTCGCAGATTCCAGCGCAGTGCCATATGCTATGCGACCTACTCCGACTTTTTGTGAAGGCTGCATTTTTGGAGCGGCTTGCTCCACCGGTCATGCAGACTTACGGCGCAGCCGGAGCCTGAGGCAGCTCAGGCCGTATTGGGCCTAGTCATGTGGCAAGTTAACTGATTGAGTGGTTTTGGTGGATCAGGTTGTCCGAGGCATAAAGGAAACAATGTGTTTTGTCCTTTGTCTTTGATCCGATGCCATGTATCCGATAAAGAAAGAGGATTTGTTTCGGCGGCTCTTTTTCACCCCGCTGGCAAGCATGCCGGGTTCGAGGCCGCTCCGCTTCAGCCCGGCGCTTGCCGAGGCCTTGGGAGACAAAGGGAATGTCTTTTTCCCAACAGTTCTGGTCTAGGGGAAAAGGAAACAAGGGGTTTGTTCGGTTTGTTGCCAAAATCTTGTGGCTTCATGTCTCATGGCGCTCATCATTGTCCGTGCCAAACAAACAATTGAAGACGCCGAATGCGGATCTTGACTTGTTGCCCTGGGCAAAGCGTGCGACTGGCCTCGTGTTCCATGGTTTCAATCCTACACCTTTTCGCCTGCTTTGAACGCCTTGGCGACCTATCGCCATACCATTCTTGGCATACTCTGGGAAGAACACGTCGGCCTCTTTGCGTACTATTGCGCTTCAACAATCTGACCACAGACCTCTCGACGGGAATGTGCCTGATGACTCGTTGGGCCAGCTTGGAACCTGTTGCCGAGTCGCCCATAGATTGAAACTTGTCTGATCGGCGCTCAACGACGGGCTTGTCGGCTGACTGGACGGGTGAGCCCAAAATTCTCGCATATCCACGAGTCTTCTTGTTTTCTTGTTGGTATGGTTCGTGACGTGCTTGACTCCGATAGGAAGCCTGATCCGGTATCCTGATTCGGGCTGTTGTCTGCAAATTTCCGCCACGTTGGCCGCTCTGATTGTTCTTGGTAGCACTCTCGGGATAGCTTGCCTTCGGATTGATGTGTTCCAGCGAGTCAATCTCACACGCGCTGACTAACACATGAGTTTCTGCTAAAAATCTGCTTGGTCTGTTGCAACTCTTTCTCTGCTTGCTTTTCGGTCAAAGTTTCAAAGGACTCTTGCTTCAGGTTGGCAATGATGTCCGTGAACTTGTCAGAATCTAGGTAGTTCATCTTTGTCTTGGGAGACGTGACCGACTTGGTTGCTGATGTTGCCCAGGCGGATCCCTGATCAGGCTCATCTTCCTCAGTTGAGTGTCTTCTTTTCCTCGTCTCGGTTGGCTAGTTGGAGGCGCTTGTAGAACTCGTCAAAGAACACATCGCTCCTCAGACTGTATCTTGTCGAGGTTCTTCTTCATGAGAGCCGAAGGATAATCCTTTGTTTCTCTGCGTTCGGCCAGTGTCCTTCAACTCGCCAGGTCGCCCCATCATTTCCTCTGCCTTCACGTTTACCCTCGACCTGTGCCATGGGGTTTGGAGGGCATTGTTTTTCTGCCCGCCTTTCACCTGAAAGGGTTTGTCTCAGAACACCCATCCATTAAAGGCAGTCCTTTTTCTAAACAAAACTGCTTGGCTAGGTGCTGAGAGTAGTGGCCGTTTCCTCGACTAAATTATGGTGTGGCTGTTGGGTGGCAATGCTGGGTTAATTGTAAACGCAGTGCGTTGCCCGCTTCGGCCATGGTTTTGGCTGGCTTTGAGGTGTGTTCTGGTTTGCCGTGAGGTGTGGTGTTTGAGTGAGCGAGTGAGTGAGTCGGCGCCATGCGGGATAGAGGGGTGCATGCTCGCGCGTTTCCCACGTGGCTTCAAGGGCTACGGGTGAGACTTGGGTAGAAGCCTGAGGGCCTGAGGGGCCACAACACTTTGGCTGACCTGAGATTTGACGGGAATTTTCAGAGTTGGACCGGTTTCGTGGGGGTTCCGACTCCGGTCCATTTGTTTCCTCGTTTGGAACATGAAATGGTACCATTGGCCGGGCAGCGACTGTGCTCCCGCCTTTGTCAGGGGACGTGCGTGGGCTGGTGCTTTGACAACGCGTCAGTGGTCAACGCTGAAGCCTCAGCGTAGCTGTGCCCAAAACCGCGGCGAGCACTGGAGGTCTCCGATGTGCCAGTGAACTCCTCGCTTGTGTTCCAGGAGTTTTGCCTTGAGCCTCTCATGTCTTTCGAGTCGGAGAGCTTTAAGATCAAATTAGGTCAGACCAACGCGCAGTGCCTGCAAAGCTGGCAGTCTGTGCCTTGATGCGAGAGCCGGCCACAAGACGCCAGATGCGCCCAAGGTCAGGCAAAGACTTTATACTGTGGCCAGATGCTGGTCAGGACATTCTCAGCTGCGCGGCACAGCTTGGATAGTGAACTCGCAAGGATCGTTTCTGTGGCGAATACCGTTGTGAAGTGCAGCCAGTGAGTCAGCATCCCAGTGTTCTATTCGTCAGAGTTACAAAGGAGAACTCTTGGCTGAGGTTCCGTACCACCTTCTCAGCTCGAGGCTGGAAGATGGCCGTAAGCTCATGCTGGCATGCTGTGTCGAGGTTCTGCGCCTCTTGGGCTCGGCGGATACCGAGGCTTCGCGGTTCGACACGTTCGACACGTTCGACACGTTCGACACGTTCGACACGTTCGATTCCGTCTGAGATCACCACCACCTGCGGGTCATCCCTGGCCAGCGACCCCGAGTATGGGCCCGAGGCAGGGAGCTGAGCGGACCAGCGGCATGCCGCTTGCCGGGACCGGATCGGATCGGAAGGTGGCGAACTCTTTGTTGGCGGGAGTGAACCTCAACAATTGGAACACGGAGGCGGAGCTGGTGGTATTTGTTGGTATTTGTTGGTATTTGTTGGTATTTGGTGGTATTTGGTGGTATCTGTTGGTATTTGGGGTGGGAACTGCTGGAAATCAGGAGTTTGCCGTGTCGGTGTCGAGTTTCATTTTCAGAGTTGACAGATGGACATCGACTCAAGGTTATTGGAGAGGCGAGAAATTGGGGCATCACGCATTTTGACAACGCGAACTCCTTAGATATGGTCACCTTGCACTTGTTCACATTGGTTGACATGATGCGTCCAAGGTCGCGGCCAGCTTCCTTGTAGTCTTCCAGAGTGTGACGCTGGACAGTGAGTGAGCGAGTAAAGCGAGTGCGAGTACAGGAAAGCAGGCGAGTGCGGCGAGTGGATGCTCTTGGCAGGAAGGATGGGCAGACGTCATGAACATGGTGCAGGAAACCCGGAAACCCGGTGAGTGCTGGACAGAGCCTCCAATTTGCGTTGCAGGATGCACAATCCACTGTTGTGGGCTTCGTCTACTTTCTTCTGCTGATTGTTGTTGGCCTGGCCCTGATCTGGCTTCAGGGTGCTCCAGAAGTTGAGAAGTTGAGGCTCCTTCTTTCTGGTGAATGTGATTCTTGCCATCATCTGGGACTGCACAGTCTTGCTTTAACTTGCTTTGCTTTCGATTTTGAGGGAATTCGTTTGCATCGAAAGGACGTCTTCCTGAAGGCCCGGGACGCGAAAAAGTGCACGCTGAAAGGAGATCCAACTGCCTCTTGTTTTTTTCTCGGAACGGCTTCGCAACGCGAGGTTGTTGGGGCAAGGAGAACAACGAGATTCAAGAGCTTCTCCCACCCATTTCTCTTGCCTTTGACATGTGTCCCAAAAGATGCATCCATCAACCCTAGCCAATCTTACACTTTGTATCCAACTCTAACAAGCATTTTCCTGTCGCGCTTCTTCCCCTTATTTTGACAATTCCTGTCATTCCCTTCCCCCAAAACCTTTCCGAGTCATTGTCAGAATTCTTCTCTAGGTGCGGGAGCAGCAGCTGCAGGAAAGAGATGAGGACGGGTGACGAAGGGAGGTCGAATACTTCCCATCACCTTTCTTGCTTCCGGCCTGCCTGCTTGCTTTCCTTTGCGTTTTCCCAAGACATGAAAGCTATGGAGCTTCTAAATTCTAGGTTGAGGTAGAGAAGAGAAGGGCATGACGCAAAAGTTGTACGATGCTTGGCTCTTTGCTGGAGAGTTTGACAGAGGGCTGCGCAGGCTGTTGTACAGTGCTATCGGCTGCTGGAGTTTCCAGGAAGAAGCCGACAAGGGCACCCAGGAAGATGTGCAGGCACTGCACGCAGTCTCAAGATGCAAAGGCAGAGAAAGTCTTTTCGGCGCGAGTGCAGGATGTGCCGCGTTGGCGACCCAAGTGCTTGAAGTCCGTTTTGCAGATAAATGACTGGCATGACATCTATCGATTTTGCTCCGACCGTTCGACCGAGGCCGTGGGAGATGTGCCTGCAAGGCCTGCCAGGGAGGTCTTTGTGGGGCACTTTTTGGGACACGGAGGACTTTGTGGTCCAACTCTTCCTGCGGCGGAACAGTACGGATGTGGAGAAGCTGTTGCCCGGGCCCATGCGCCATGCGCCATGCGCCATGCGCTGCCCGCAATACCCAGCTGGGAGCCGGGAGCCGATGCCGATGCCGAATCACGGGCCGAGGTGGGAGCCCAGCGACCACAGGGCAGTCCGATGGGCACGAGCCATTGCCAGCACCTGACGTTGCCTGAATGCGAGATTCATAATTTGTCTGATAGACGTTGCGAAGGCAACGAACACCATGTTCAACTCTGGGGTGATGACGATGATCTTGGTCAACGTCCTGGTTGGGGCCCTGCGACCCGACCCGACTCTTCGAGGATTCTGCTTTCCTTCCCATTTCGGTGCGAAGGTGCTCTCCATGGACCGTTACCCAGAGCACCTGGTGGCAGCTTCTGTGGGAGAGGCCGGGTCGAAACTTTCGAAACCCGAAACGCATGTGAGAGCTTTGTGAGAGCTTTGGGCTAGGTCTTGAACTACATCTTTAACATCGTATTCCTTCTGGAGTGCCATCCTTGCCTTTGGCTGGCCACATGCCTTGTGATGCGTCATGAGGTGTATGATCCTCCATGTGGCGGTTGGTCCTATGGTCTACTGGGCAGACAACGCTGGGGCCTTGCGTTTGAGTCCTTTGAGTCCTTTGAGTCCTTTGAGAATTCGAGAGTTCGAGAGTTCGATGGCGCAAGGCCATGGCCTTCGACGGGGTCATCGTGCTGCTCTCGGTGGTGGACATTGTGAGCGACCTCGCCTCGGGTGCAGGCGCTTCTTGGGATGGAATCGTGCATGAGGGGATGTGAGAGTCATACACTGCCGTACGGACGTTGTGGTGAACCTTTGCATTGACAAAATATGCGAACAAGGAGGTCTCCTACGCTTTGTCATTCACGTCGCCAACGCTGCTTCCGTAGACAGTCGATACTTTGCCTCTGGCGCAGTCCGTGACGTCTTGCCGACGTTCAGATTCGAACCTTCTCTTGGCCTCAAGCGAATATCGAACCCAGATCCCGGCGCAACCCAAAAGCTGCGTGCTAGCAAGAGTTTAGATATTAAAAGATGCGCCCAGATGGTGGTGGCTCAGCAATCACAGCCCTGCGGGCGTGCCGGCCTCAGATTGGCTCTGGACATTCTGGACAATTGCCATTGCACTCCAGTGACTCCAGTGCAGGTTCCGCATGCTGCGGATCTTCAAGCTGGCAAAGAAGTTTCCCAGCATGAAGGCGGTGCCGCGGCACGTGCGCATGCCCGTATGTCACAGTGAGCCGCGCCCAGATCTTGCTGACAGCGGGCGTCAAGACCCTAATGTCCATGGGTGACTTTGTGGCATTGCCTGTGCCCCAGAAGCAGATTTGTGCCGATTTGTGCCTTTTTCATTCGCTGGGAGGCTCTTCTTGATTATTTGCGTCTTTGCCCTCATGGCACAGAGCTTCTTCGGGGGAACCTTCATGTTTCATCCGGAAGATGGGAGCCTTGTGCCTGTGCAGGAGAGGTATGGAGCAGTCGGGAGAAGGGGGGGATGGTGCGGGACGGAGCGGGACGGGGTCACAGGACTATCGCACGCGCTGCCCTATGGGGCCTGGCGAGAAGCCAATTTGCGCCTGGAGCTGAGGAAGTGCCTTCAGCAAGACTTGACAGTCTACTCAGTGCTTGGCGAAGGTACCACGAGCTCATTTCGACACCTTCTTATGGAGTTTCATCACCATCTTCCAGATCCTCACAGGCCGCAAGAGTGCCACGTGCTGGCGACTCACGCCTGGCCAGGAGAGAACTGGAACACGGTGATGTACGATGGAATGAGGGCGACTGGATGGTGCGGAGTGTCAACTGCACCGCAAGTTACTTCGAAGCGCTGAGGGTGGCAACGCTCTTCTTCCTCTTTGCCGTAGACCCAGCCCTCGCAAGTTGCGTGGCCTCTGCATGCAGCAAGGTCGTGCTCTTCGGCAACTTCGTGATTCTGAATCTGTTCTTGGCGATTCTGATGAGCAATTTCGACGAGCAGAGGAGCAAGCTCCATGAAGCCATGGAGAGCCGGCGAGAGCTGACCAGAGCCGGGCGCCCGTTCCTCCGCATGCGACATCGCATTTCGCACCGGCACCTCCAGGCAGAACTTCGGGACAGGGACCGCTGGGCATGGGACAGCAATGCCGGGAGCTGACTGTCGAAACCAGATGAAAGATTTCACGAGTGTCATCGATTCAATTGTCATGTTGCAAAGCGTCAAGCTTGCGCTTGATCCGTGTCGAGGCCATGCCTTTGGTGCCGCGGGCTTCCAGCGCAGCCCCAAGTTCCATATGCGACATGCGCATAGCCGCCCTCGAGCCAAGGCAATCGCTTGGCCCCGCCCCCAGCGACCCCAGCGACCCCAGCGACCCCAGCGACCCCAGCGACCCCAGCGACAGACCTGAGAGTTCGCGAGAATCCCAGGGTGGCACTCCCAGATCAGTCGGCGCCTGATCCCTGCAGAATTGAGCCATGGTGAGCTTTTGAGGTTGGCAGCATCTTTACAGACAAAGCATCGTGGATATCCAGAGTGGAACTCTGGAAGGTACCCGACGGCATGTTGCAGTTGCAGATTCTACCTTGGTAGTCGGTTGTGGGGTACCAAAATGACGAGATTGAGAAAGGTTGAGCATTGCACACAAACTTTGCGCCAGGACCGAAATGTTGCAGCGCCCGGCCTTTAGTGTTTAGCACTCAACTGTAAGCACTTTGTTTCGTGGAACCGTGCCAGGTGCGAGAGGAGATGTGGCGAGCGGTCCTTCTTTCTCTTCTCCAGGGACGCTCTGATTGACATGTGTTTTGTTTTTTGCATTTGCACATGTGGGCCACACGCCGATTTCCGTGTTGTTTGATATTATGTTTCAGTACAGCATGCTCCAATGCGCTCTGCCTCTGACTTATGATCCTTGGAGACAGCCGATCGGCAGAGTATGCTCCCTAATTATGTCTGCTCAAATCAGGGCCTGTGCAGCATTTGCAAACTATTGTCGTTCCGCTTCACCCAGTTCCAACAGCATGTTGCAGCCTTCAGTAGGCATGTGTTGGGAAACTGCGTACCTCAGCTGCAGATCGGCACTTGATCATTTGATATCATTTGATATCATTTGATCAGTTCTGCAACCAGCATCGTCCTTTGGTGCTTTCGCAGTCTCAGCCATTGGAACTCCCAAGAACCTTCGCAAAACATTGCGCCATTGCAACTGGGATGCCGGTGCCCAAATTCCGTCAGAACTAGGAGCCTGCGCTCGTTTCCTGTGTACGAACTTGGGCACATACGCCAAACTGACGCATGGCATGACTCGAGCTTCATGCAGATCTCACAATGAACGCTCCCTTTGAGCATTTAAGCATATTTAAGCCTTGATGTTTGCAACACGAGGCTTCTAAGACTGGAGAGCCCGCGTTTCGGGGAGAGCTTGAGGACGCCGAGCTTCGGAGGGCCTGCTTGCGTCTCCTGGAGTGCGCAATCTCAGAATTGTTTTCTTTTCTTTCTAAAATTCTCAGAATTGTTTCAAATGCCATATGCTTCGGCTGCTTCGGATACGGGAATGCTCGCCGAGGATCCCAGCCTTTGATCAGGTGATTGTCGTGAGCGGCCCAGCGCGCAAAGGGAGACCGGGAGACCGGGAGACCGGGAGACCGGGAGACCGGGAGACCGGGAGAGCGGACTGAGAGCGGGAAATTCGGAAAGGGAGAAGATGGGAAGGTCACGATTGCTTTGTCTTCTGTTGCGATGGCCGCTTGCAGCTCAGCTGGGGCTTATGTGGGCTTAGTCTTGGGATGTCTTGGGTCTTGCTTCCTTCAGTTCGAGAACCCGCTCCTGGATCCAAACAGTGCTCAGATCAAGGCCGGACGCTCGCAGCGCCGCTGTTTTTGCATGTTGAGTGTACGAGGCGCTGGAAGTGCTCAGTACCATTTTCACAGCGAGAACCTAAGATGAAGTCATGGAATCCATGGAACAGGGTTTGTCGGTTTGTCTGCAGTGTCAAGGTGATTTTCTTGGTGGAGCTCGTGGTGAAAATGATTGCCTTGGGGGGAGTCTGCGGTTATGCTCCTTACCTGAAATGAGAATCTCTGCAAGTGACAAGTCGGAAGGGGAGACGGGGAGACGCGACAGGGCGATGGACGAGCCTATCTCCGGTCCTTCGAGAATGTCATGGACTTCGTCATAGTCCTCGTGTCCTTCGGCAGGTTGGACTGGTGCGAGCTGAGATGCATCTTGGCAAGGTCGGTACTGAACGACATCCAGAACTGGTTCCTTGGTGGCGGTGGAGCCTGAACCCCGGCTCGCGAAGTCTCGCGATTTCATGAGCATTGCAAGACTTGCTGAGTGGCAACAGTTGCAAAAGTGGCAAAAGTGGCAGCTAAGATCATCCAAGTGATGAAAATCTTCAGGGTGGTCAGGCCGAGATGGTGGGGGCATGAAGGGTGGGGTGGCATGGGCACAGGATGTTACGGCCTTTGCGGCTCATCTCCCGCAACAAGAATCTGAAGGTGCGTTTGTGTGCGTTTGTGCCAAGTAGTTTCGCTTTAGCTTGTGGAAGGTTGTGGTGAAAACCATTTTGGCGGCTGTGCCCGAGCTGCGGAACCTCCTGGTGAGGGATCTCGGATGAAATCGGAAAGCTTTTCGGAAAGCCTGATCTCGATCGGCATTAGTACGACGTCTCTCCTCTCCACGTCTCCTTTCCTTCTTTCATTTTTTCCTGTTGTCTTGTGCTTGCGTCTCCATCGTTCAGGTCTTCAGCTCCTTGTTCTTCCTGATCTTCGGCCTGCTCGCAGCCGAGAAAAGCCCGGAGTTTGTCATCTATGCCTTCATGTCTTCCAGTTGCTCTTCATTTCACGGGGATGTCAAGAGATGAATGTTTCTTTGAGCTCTTGCCTGGGTCTTGTGCTTGCATTCATCGAGCTTCCCAGGCTTGCTGTGGGGAACCTGAAAGGCTCCTACCATAGCTGCAGGGACAGTGCGTGCGCGGCTCGAATTGACGCACACCTGTGATGTTTCCAATGCTTGGAACCGAGGCTGGAGAACTTGGACTTCAGCCCAGTCGAAGGAGAGATGTCCAGAGCAAGAAGAAACCGACTTAATGACTTAATAGAGACTTAATAGAGACTTAATAGAAGAAACAACACATTGGGCTCGCAAGACGTGCGCTATTTGAATTCGCCACTCCGTGCCACTCTGCGCCACTTGGAGTGGCATGGAACAGCGAGGCAGTGGCATGGAGTGGCAAGGAGTGGCAAGGAGTGGCAAGGAGTGGCAAGGAGTGGCAAGGAGTGGCAAGGAGTGGCAAGGAGTGGCATGGAGAGGCGAGCGCAGAACTGACCTTTTCGCATCGCAGGGTGTCATTAAACTCGATTTGGCCATTGAATGGTGGCTTCTTTGGGTTTCACTTCGCAACCCTGACTCCCAAAAACAACCGGACGATTCAGAGAGCTTCACCTAGTTGTTTTGCAATTGTACGGGGGCTACTTTGCTTTCCCGGCTGAGCTGACCCTTTTGCATCCTGCAAGATGTTTTTCAGAGTCGACTTGATGCTCACCTCGGGTGTCATTCAGAGGCACTGCCAAAACCCTTCAGATTCCCGGAGGCTCCGGTGCCTCGCCACGCCATGCCCGGCACCTTGTTCCTCAATTTAGCCTCCCTCAGCACCGTCATCCGCACCAAAGGCGCCGTTGTGGGAGTGGGAGCATTCAACAAGACCCAGTAATGCCACCAAAACGACATCTCCCTTTGATGCTTTTGACTAGCTGAAGCCAGTTTGACACGTTGGTGAAATATTTTGATTCATTCCCCAGATAGCCGAAAGCTGTGGGGTTCTAACTTCTAATAAAGAGGGGAAAGTGATTTGCGAGATTGACGGCTGGGTGCTAGGAGGCATGCAGATTGGGGTGCTGGTGCGTGCGCTGTTTTGGTGCGCTGGTGACGGTGCAGCGCATTCTTGCGAGATTGACGGTAGGGTGCTACAGACATGCGATTTGAGGATCCTTGTGCAGGTGCTGTTTTGGGTTGCTGCTTGTGGTGCTATTTGAGGTGCTAGCAACGGTGCGAGCGCAGCCGGGTGCTGGGGGGCATGCAGTTTGGGGCGCTTGTGCAGTTGTTTGCTATTTGGGGTCTATGCTGGCGTAATCTGTGGAGCGGCAACGGCCTGGACAAACCGTTGGCCCCATGACGGTCATGGCTTTGGCAACGACAGCATAGTTTTGAACAGAAACCGTCAATGCCGGGGTAGTCGCAGAGATTCTTTGTTCGACTGTGTGCTGTTAACGACGTGGTGAGCAGCCTGGCCCTGAAGCGGGGAGCCCCCCTTTTCAACCAGGCACGCCTTAGTGAACAACTGCACAAGCGCCCCAAACTGCATGTCCCCCAGCACCCGGCTGCGCCCGCACCGTTGCTAGCACCTCAAATAGCACCACAAGCAGCAACCCAAGACAGCACTGTCTGTAGCACCCTACCGTCAATCTCGCAAGAATGCGCTGCACCGTCACCAGCGCACCAAAACAGCGCACGCACCAGCACCCCAATCTGCATGCCTCCTAGCACCCAGCCGTCAATCTCGCAAATCACTTTCCCCTCTTTATTAGAAGTTAGAACCCCACAGCTTTCGGCTATCTGGGGAATGAATCAAAATATTTCACCAACGTGTCAAACTGGCTTCAGCTAGTCAAAAGCATCAAAGGGAGATGTCGTTTTGGTGGCATTACTGGGTCTCGTTGAATGCTCCCACTCCCACAACGGCGCCTTTGGTGCGGATGACGGTGCTGAGGGAGGCTAAATTGAGGAACAAGGTGCCGGGCATGGCGTGGCAAGGCACCGGAGCCTCCGGGAATCTGCAGGGTTTGGCAGTGCCTCTGAATGACACCCGAGGTGAGCATCAAGTCGACTCTGAAAAACATCTTGCAGGATGCAAAAGGGTCAGCTCAGCCGGGAAAGCAAAGTAGCCCCCGTACAATTGCAAAACAACTAGGTGAAGCTCTCTGAATCGTCCGGTTGTTTTTGGGAGTCAGGGTTGCGAAGTGAAACCCAAAGAAGCCACCATTCAATGGCCAAATCAAGTTTAATGACACCCTGCAATGCGAAAAGGTCAGTTCTGCGCTCGCCTCTCCATGCCACTCCTTGCCACTCCTTGCCACTCCTTGCCACTCCTTGCCACTCCTTGCCACTCCTTGCCACTCCATGCCACTGCCTCGCTGTTCCATGCCACTCCAAGTGGCGCAGAGTGGCACGGAGTGGCAAATTCAAATAGCGCACGTCTTCTTGCCCAGTGCAGCCGGGCGGAAGTGCCCTTTCTCATGCTTGCTCCTCTCACCTCTCAGACATGTTGAGCTAGGCGGCACACCCATGTGCGTCAATGAGGCAGGGAGCAACAGGGACTGCGCGGATATGGGTTCTGGCCATGTCCAGGTGAGCAACACCTCGTGCTCAGCTCATTCGTTCCCGTTAGCGCACCATCCGAAGTCCTCTGAGGTTGAAAGTCTTGACGCGGCAGTCTCGGGATGCAACACACACGCCACGCCAAACATGGCGCACACAACGCACAGCGCACACGCGACGCCACATGGAACGGAGCTCTATAGAATTCTATAGATACGATATGATATCGAGACGAGGCAGAGGGAAAGCGCCTGCTCCGATGCCTGGCAGAGACCTTCCGCAGATACGCCCGTCTGTGAGGCGGGGAAGGCCCTCGCGTGGGTCGCGTGCGTGACTCGACAGGTGCACTGCGACGGCTCCAGCCACGCCTTCTGCAGGGAGCCACGCCTTCCACGGTTTCTGTTGTCTCATAGGACTCATAGGCCGTCGCTTTCGCCATGCACCGCATTGGCATAGGTCAGACCGCACCGTGGGGGTACCACATCATGCGGTGTAGCGACTGCAGCGCAGCCTTTTGCACAGAGGACGTCAGCTTGCATCTCTTTGAAGTTTCCCAAGATGCAAGGTTGCTGGGTTGGGTGCTGGTGGTGCTGTTTGGTGTTCTCGAGGTATTGTTGTGTTTGCGCAGCAAAATGAGCCATTCCGGTCATCCAATGTCAAAATTTGGGGCCTATGCCGCATATGCCGGTGTAATTTGTTGTCCGGGGGTGAAGTGCCCAAAGAAGGGCTGCACGATTCCATATCGCACTGCCAGGACCAGGACCGCCGAGATGCCTGCAGCCAGCATTGTGCAACGCATGAATACTTCTGCAAGGCAATTGTGTTCCGACGCATTTTCAAGTCAATGTCACCAATGCCACATTCAGCCAATGTCGCATGCTTCGTGTTGCAGGCAGGTGGAGCAGACTGCAGCATGCTCAGTGAAAGACGCGGGAGAGCTTCGTGGAGTCACGGACAGCTGTTTGCCAGGTTTGGAGCAATGCGTAGCTACGTGTCTTTGCGGCACACACTGTTGGGGCTTGATCAAGGCATGGGTGTGAGTCCCCCAGTCATACAAGCCTGTGCAGCTCTAGTTTCAACTGCAGGATGCTGCTCTTTGCACGGAGCAGGGTGGCAAGTGGGTGAACATGAACGAGAACTTCGACAACCTTCTGGTTGTCGGGCGCACAGAGTGATTCATGCATACAGACGGTTCTTGCATACAAGGCATAGTGGCATGTGACTGCGGCTGAGGGCACGATTGCCCTGTTTGAGATCAGCACAACTGAAGGACAATTGCGGCAAGTGCTTCGGTGATTCAGACTGATTGCAGACTGCAAGTGCCATGCCAGGATGGGTTGACGTCATGCTGGCGGCAGTGGACAGCAGAGGGCCTTATCTTCAGCCCAGGCGCACAGCCGAGATTGCGCTTGGCGTGTTCTGCCGTTGTCCCAATCGAGACGAGGCGTGATGCCAACGAATTTATTGGCAGCGGGCCAATCATGTGATGTGCATCGGTACTGTCACTTAGAATAGCCAGCAACAAAAAAACCTTGTGCCAGGTAGTGATAGCTCAGGCTACTGTTGCTCATTGCAAGCCTGTCAGATGACCCTCGACGTCACAAGAAGGCCACTTCAACGAGCACATTTGGCATTATGCTGCCACGTCAAACAGATGGCAAGCCGCTATTGGACTGGTGGACAAGTCAAGGAATTGCTGACAATTCAGATGCGAAGACAGAGAGAGAGAGAGACAGAGAGAGCGAGCGCCGTGGTTTTTGGGGGTAAGTTGTAGTGATTGTAGCCTAGTCTAGCAAGCGACACAGACATGCAGCCAGAAGACCCAAACTTCGACGAACAATGCACGTCCTTGACGGGCTTGCAGACTTGATGCATTTGTATCTCTGACGCGTGGTGCTTCATGCATTCAACCAAGGCTTTTTCCGCTAAGGTTCCATGCTTTTCGTGGCCTTCATGCTTATAGGCCGAACATGTCAAAGGCCAAGCACATGTTCTTTTGCCCTGAGCTCAGGAAGCTTCTTTGTGCTAAACCTTTGCGTTGGCCCGTGTCGAAGTGACCAATGCAATGCTTGCAGGGCACTGTTAGCGATGCGCACAGGTGTCATCATTGACAATTACAATCGACAAAAGAAGGAGAGCGACATCGGCTATGCTTGGATCTCATTGTGAATGGTTCCGCGCCTTGAGAGCGAGCAGAGTGACCGCACGTCTTGAAAAGACGTTGGAAGGTGCTGGTTACGGAGGCGCAGGCTGCGTGGATGACACAGATGAAGGCCAGGCGAGAGAAATACGGAAGGAAGGAAAGGAAAGAAAAGGAAAGGAAAGGAAAGAAAGGAAGAGGGAAACAAAGACAGACAGAAAACAGTAGTACTGAAATATATGAAGTATGTCCATAAAGAAAGCAGCCAAAAAAGAGCAGGCAAGCAAGAAAGCAATTCAGGAAAGGAAAAGAAAGAGAAACAAGCTAGAAGATGGTAGCCCAAAAGCATCAGCAGCGGCGGCAAGTTCTCCAAGCAAGTTCTCTGTGCAAGTTGCTCTGAACAAGCTTCCTCTATTCGGGTATCGAAAGTGTACTTCGCGCGCGCGTGCTACTAAGCATGTCATTGCTTCAAGGGCTACAGAGGCTGGGAGAGTTGAGTGGAGGCTGAGGCCTGAGAGGAAACGCAACGTGCGCTAAGATGTGAAGAGGAGCGCAGCCGTGATACCGAATCGGGCGTGATGCGAGCCGAGAATCGGAATGAGCTAGGGTGGTTGGCCGAGTGCCTGCTTGAGCCGAATCTCAGGTCAAATCCCGCCATACTTTGGAGGAAGGCACGCCCTCCTAACTGCACTGCGTCTGCCTTCAAAGTGTGAGGGCGTTTCAGATTCAGGGCTAAAGTGTCATTGGTTTTCTGGAAACCCGCCACGATTTCATATGGAGTTGTGATTGGTTTTCATGCGCAAATTGGCTGGCTGAATGCAGTTGGCCGGGTTTCATCATCATTTGGGAGAAATTGATTTGGCTAGTTGAGCAAAGTTGGCCAGGAAAACCCGTCACTTTGCCAGTTCCAAGTTGGCTGGTTGAAGAGTGAGCTGACCGCGTCCGACTTCGGTGGATGTGAGAGGGGGAAATGCTTGTTCCTCGTCACTCCCCAAGAAAAAGTGTAAACACGCACAGATCTGAAGCGCGTGGAACGATACAGAGTCAAGCATGGAGGTGCAGATCAAAAAGCGCTGGTCGAGCTGTGTCAACGTCCATTGGTCCAGTCCCCCAGTGCAGTTTGTCCAATTCCTCTGATCTCGGTAATTTGTGATCTGTCCAGCACGAAGTTGGAGATGCCGCTGTAGGTGCTCCTTGCGTCTTGTTGAGCAGTATTGCAATCTTCATTCCATCCAGGAGTGACCCACTCTGGTAGCGGTTGATGTCGTTGGGAATTGTTCCGCAAACTGCTTCGTTGAATGTAGGTTCCAGTAGTTTGGAGAGGTAGCCAAGGCTTCGTGGTTCTATGGGTAGGCTGAACCTGTTGCGCAAAAGCCGTAGTGTTTCACATGCGCTTGCTTATATGTTGATGAGAATGTTGCGCAGGTCTCTTGCGAGGTCTATTGCCTTTGTTGCTTGTGCAGCGTCGCGTGTGTGGCCCTGATGTCTGCAGCCTCACTTGTCGTGTAGTCTCGGTCTATGAGTCGCGGAGAGAGGCCTGTAAATTGAACAGCTACTCTTCACATTGTGAGTAGCCAGCATTGAAGAATGGTCGTGGCAGTTTGTATGTGTGTACTCTTTGGATCTTTGGGCGTCGTTGTCTTGTGCTTGGGCCTTTTCTGTTCCCGTAGTCGTGGCTCCTACTGTCTCTGCTTCTGTTGGTTCATTGTCTGTTCCTGTAGTTTGTGCTGAGCTGATGCAGGCGGTTCACGTTGTAGTAGTTTGGCGGAACCCCCCTACGCGTAGGTACGCGTAGGATCTCAGCTCCGCTACCACGTTAACATCAACTTGTCACTTACTACAAGCGCAAGTGTTGGAATGTTGCTTTCACAAACAGTCAAACCTGTAGCCTGCTCGACTCGCGTGTAGTGAAGTAAAAGAGCTCAAGGCCTGTGGTATGCAGACCAGAACTGCGAATGCGACGCCAACCAATGGCTTGGCAATCAGTCTCGCAACTGAAGCGCGCGCTTCGCTCCCAGCCATCGCCTCTCCGAACTAAGCAGCGCTGCAATTTGGAAGTGGGGCTCCCCATTCTCATGCTCTTCGTGCCAATGCCTTTCATTTCCCTTTGCTTCCCATGCATTCCCCTTTACTCACTCTGCGTTTCTCATTCCTTTCCCTTTCATTTCTCCTTGATTTCCTGTCATTTCCACTTCCCCCCACATGTCCCTGCATTTCTCTTTTATTTCCACTCCACTTCATGTCCTCTTCATTTTTCTTGCGATTCCCTTGCGTTTCCCCTTCATTCCCCATCACTGTCCCTGGAATCTTCTCATTTTGGTGTCCTGCCCCCTTTCACTTCCCTGTACGGTTCTGCAGTTCCCAGCTTCGTTCCCTTTTTCCCCCCTTCACACCTCCCCTTCCAAAAGCCGCCAAGTTCCATCCCAAAAGATTGAAAAATATACTTGTGAGCGTTTTCGCGAAAGGGAGGTCAAAGGAAAGGAATGAGAAAAGGAAATAAGTAAAGAAAGGCGAGAAAGGCGGCAAAGAAAGGCGAGAAAGGAAGGCCGGAGAGAAAGTAAAGGAAGGAAAGAATGAAAAAGAAGGCAATACAGGGCAAAAAGGAAAGAAGCGAAAGAAAGGACAGAAAAAGAAGGAAAGGAAGGACAGAAATCAAAGAAGCGAAAGAAAGCAACGAAAATAATGAAATAAAGGAACGACTGGATACAAGGACATAAGGGAAATTCAGGAACGAGAGGCAGGAAATAAAGGAAAGAAGGAAATGCAGCAATGAAAGGCAAGAAAGGAAAGCAAGGCGAGAAGTGAAAGAATGGGAAGAAAGGAAAGAAAGGATCAAAGAAAGCAACACAAGGAAAGAAAGGACAGAAAGGAAATAAAGGAAGCAAAGGAAATAAAGGAAGCAAAGGAAATAAAGGAAGGAAAGAAAGGAAACAAAGGAAACAAAGGAAACAAAGGAAACAAAGGAAACAAAGGAAAGACAGGAGATACAGTTTGGCAAAGAGAGAAAGGGGCTGTCTCAAGCCATGATTGTGTGCATTTCGAGGCGCTGTACTTGTGTCGAACCTTCTTCACCCAAGTAAACGTCGATAGGCGGGAAATTCTTGTGACTTTCTTGTTTTCTGCCGCACCACGACCTCAGTGCAGGTTGGGGCCCTCCAGGCAGCACCGATTCAGGACGGACTTCGCACCCGTGCTTCGCGCGATGACCATGGCGCAACGTTGCAAACTTGGCTGACATGTCAATATGAACTGACTCGATTTCCCTGATTGATCAATTGATTGGTTGATTGACTGACTGATTGTTTTGTTTTGATTTGATTGGATTCGATTTGATTGATTGATTGATTGGCTGGTTGGTTGGTTGGTTGGTTGGTTGATTGGATCATTGGTTGAGTGATTGATTGATTGATTGATTGATTGATTGATGGATTGATTGATTGGTTGGTTGATTGATTGATTGATTGGTTGATTGCTTGATTGGATCATTGATTGATTGATTGATTGCTTGATTGATTGATTGATTGATTGATTGATGGATTGATGGATTGATTGATTGATTGGTTGGTTGATTGGATCATTGGTTGAGTGATTGATTGATTGATTGATTGGCTGGTTGGTTGGTTGGTTGATTGGATCATTGGTTGAGTGATTGATTGATTGATTGGTTGATTGATTGATTGATTGGTTGGTTGATTGATTGATTGATTGGTTGACTGATTGATTGATTGGTTGATTGGTTGATTCGCTGGTTAACTGTCTGGTTCATTCACCCACCCACGCGCTCACGCACGCACGGACTCAGTCGTCGCTCACTCGCGCACTGACGTGAAGCTCGCTCACTCACTGGCTGGCTGGCTGTGGCCTAGATTTGAGCAATTGGAAGGATCATCACTTCCGCGGCCTTTGAGAACCTGATCATGGGCTGCATCGTTCTGCAGCTTTGCTTCCTGACCATGGCAGCGCCCTCAGCGCCCTCAGCGCCCTCATGTCTCAAGTCGCTCTCGGATCGACTCGGATTCGACTCGGATTCGATTCGCTCGAGGCGCTCGAGGCGCTCGAGCGCCCGCCCCGAGGTGTGGCAGCCGCGCGAGATCGGCGGCTCCTTGGAAATCTTCCTGAGCCCGGCGGCCCAGAGGGGACGCGTGCGGAACGCAACGGAACGCAACGGAACGCGGTTCGCGGAGAAACGAAAAGCGAAAAGAAGCGAATTGCATAGCGAAAAGAAGCGAAACGGAGCGCAACAGAGCGCAGAACTAAGACATTCGAGATGGGGATGGTTGGGATGGTGGGCACTCAGGATGGTCAGGATGGTCAGGATGCACGGGACTGCACGGGACTGCACGGGACGGGAGGGTACTTGTTTGTCAGTTTGTTTGTTTTGGCTCCTTTTCTGGGGCTCCTGTAAAGGACGGATGTTCGAGCCTTTCTGGTGCGCTGGGCAGTTGACATTTCATAGCTGCACTTGAGAGTCTGACGGGAACAAAGCGTGCAACTTGCTGGACGTAAAAGGCTTCAGGTTTGCCATAGGCTACGGGGTGGTTTAGTTAGGCAGGTTTGGTTTAGGGCTTATTTTTGGTGTCATCTAGGGTGGACCTGCTTTAATCAGGGGGGGTTCAGGGCTGAGATGGGGGTGATTGGCTATCGGGCTGGCTTAAAGGGTTCAGGTTCGGGCTTATTTGAAGGCCTGTGCACTTTTGGGGTTGGGTTGGTTTGGGGTTGGTTGTTGTAAGGCTCTGGGCTGGCTTTGGGTTGGTTATGTGGTTTATCAGTGGTTTGCGGTTGGTTGAGGGGCTGGTTTAGGGGTATGAGACAGTCGGGAGTTTTATCCTGCGTCTTCGTTGCCCGAATTCCTGCATTCTGTCAGCCGAAATGCTTGTTAATCGAATCTCAGCACAGTGTCAGCCGAATGTCCACCATGGTGTTTGTCCAATAGTACGGCTTCTTGGTGGTCATCGTCGGTTTTTGGGTTCTCAGCGTTTTCCCTGAGACTCTTGCAACGTGTTCTTCACGGTGATCTTCCATGCGGAATGCTTTGTGAAGCTGAGCGCCGCCGCCTCAGATTCCCTCCCTGGCCCTCCCTTCCGTCCCTTCCGTCCCTTCCCGAGCGAAAACTGCCGAAGGCTTTGCACTGCAACTATTTCCACGAGTACTGGAATGTCTTTGACTTCATTTGCGCCAGGGCCACGTCGACTCAGTTTCAATGCTGCATTGAAGCTCTGAGGTAATCACAAGCGATGTCGTGGCAATCCTCGAAGCTTCGATTGAAGGGAACTCATCGGTGAATCTCAGCGCTTTGGTTAGCGCACTACGCGCCCCGATCGCAGACTTTCCGCGTTGCCGGATGCAGGAAGGTCAATTTGCTGTCGGTGCCAGGCATCTTCCGTGTCGCCCGGCTCTTCCGGCTCGTGAAGTTTCTGAAAGGTTGCGGCCCTGGCCTGCGAACGGATGGGAGCTTGTTGGAGACATAAATGAAAAGTTGTTTTGACCACTCACTGGGGTAATTTAAAAGTTTGGACGGAGTCAGGAAATGTTGCCGTTCAATTCGCTAGGACACATCAAGCCTTCGCAAGCCAAGGTCTCAACAAGCTGCTTTTGGCGTTCGCCAGCGCCTTGCAGTTCGCTTGCGCAATGGCTTGCGCAATGCGTGTGCCGGAAAGGCCCTCTCAGTCCCCAAGCTTTTCAATGTGGGCCTAGCCCTGGCCTTCGATTTATTCGATATATTCGACCGATTCCTTCCCTCTCACAGGTCATGGTGCTGTTGCTTTACCTCTACGCAGTGCTCGGAGTCAGCCTCTTTGCCAAGGCGCTCTCCATGCTCTCGATGCTCACTCGATGCTCACTCGATAGGTGGCCTACACGGGTGTGGGCGTCTACGGCCCGGCCCAGAGAAATGAAGACTTGCGCAAGCGCGCAAGCGCAGGTCCTCAGGCCAACTTCCGCACCTTCTTCAACGCAGAGAGCTCAGATCTAATCAAATGCGAATTGAACTTGTGAACTTGTGAACTTGTGCTCTCTCTGAATTGAGCTTCTCAGGCCATCTCCTTGCTGATTCGATCCATGACTGGAGAAGGCGCTTGCGACTGCGCCTTGCGCCTTGCGCATCGCATCACGCACCTTGAGGCTGGAACTTCATAATGCACGACTTGAGCAAAGACCAGTGGTATTTTCAGAGCCCACGCCCAAGTACTCCACGGTATAGCGATGTCGGAGTACTAAAACGTGCTTGGCCGAGGCGTTCTCGAGAAGACCTGCTCAGCTGGGCGCATATGTCACATGTCGCACATTAGATGGCGGCGCTGCGCAACTTCAGGAGCTCGATCTGGAGATGATGGACTTTGCAGCTCTGGACCTCAACAAGGATGGGTTGGTGTGGGCCTTGGGGGCCTTGCGATTGCGAGGCCTTGGGCCAAAACGCCAGAGTGAGGTTGACAATCCCACGGAGTGTGGCTCCCTGCTGGCCTTTGTGTACTTCATCTCGTGCGCATCCTTAGCCCATTCGCCCCCCGAATGAACTGTATGAAGTGTATGAAGTGCATGAAATGCATGAAGTGAGAACGCGGACTGAAGTGGACAAGCTAGGTACACCATATTGGTGAGCTTTGTGATTCTCAATCTCTTCATTGCAGTTATCTTTGAGGGCTTCGAGGAGAGCCAAAGCCTCAGTGCAAGATGGCATTCTGTTTGAGTCGGCCATTCAAAACGTACCTTGTCAAGTTGTCAAGTGAGAGGACTGCTCTTCTAGGTAGAGTTCAGGAACTCAGAACCTTAGCTTGGTGGCTCGTTCCAGCATGTTGCGATGCTCTTACATTGGATGCAGTGCAACAGCCCGTGTCAGGCAGGGGCAGCGAGCCGATGGAGGTGCTGGCAGTGGTTTGTTTGCTTGAACAAGTGAAAATACTAGGAAGGGTACTGTCTTGCAACTCAGGGTGCTCTAAGAGTGCTTAGTTTCCTGCTCGGCTCGGAGGTATGTTTTGTTTGTTAATGTACATCCACTCTTGTACATTGGTACACGATCCACGACCACAACCCAGGGTGAGCTCCATCACACACCCACAGGTTTAGGTACACAGTAGTGAGCAACATGACGCAACAACAGCAGCAACAGGAACAACAGCAGTTGGAAGGAATCCACAGATACAAGATATCACCACCACGGTTCACAGGAGAATACAACACCTTCGAAGAATGGAAGTACAAGATGACAGCATACTTGGGGTTACAAGACCCAGCATACAACAGACTGCTGAAACAGCCAGAGCAATCAACAGGACAAGTTACAAACGACCAACTAACTGAGCAGCAATCTACACTACCTCTTGGTGAGCACACGCGATGGACCAGCGTCTACAATCTGCAGGCAAAACATGCAAGGCAACGGATTTGAAACATGGCGGCTGATACATGCAAGATATTCCATACCACTCGGCGCGCGAGGCATTGGGTACCTGACAAGGTTACTCAAACCACAACTTGAAGAACAGAAGTTCGAGGAGAGCTTCACAACATGGGAGTTTCAACTCTCCAGGTACGAACAAGACAACAACACACTACTGCCAGATGCAGTCAAGATTGCAATACTGCTCAACGAGACAAAAGGACCACTACAGCAACATCTACAACTTCAAGCAGGAAACATCACAACATATGCACAGATCAGATCAATGGTGATCGAGTGCTACAGAGCAACAGCATCATTCACCAGGCTACAGGCAATCACATCAGGCAGCAACAGTCAAGGACCGGCGCCGATGGACGTAGGAGCAACATGGTACAACAAAGGAAAAGGAAAGAAGGGCAAGCGCAAGGGCAAAGGAAAGTACCACAAAGGCAAAGGCTATGGCAACAACGGGAACAACTACAGCCACAACCGCTACAAAGGAGGAAAAGGCAAGTATATTCAACAACCGGTTGGACAAGGAACATTCAAAGGACAACATGGATATGGCAAAAGAAAAGGATACAGCAACAAAGGAAAAAGGCAAAGGATGGTACAACAACCAACAAGGAGGAAAAGGATCAAAGGGAAAACAAGCAACAAATGTTTGCCACAGATGTGGACAACCAGGACACATGGCCAAACAATGCAGAGTGGCGATCTACAACTGTGACACAGGAACCTTCGACACCAATGACCTGACAGATGACTGGTACATCCAAGCACACTACGACAACAACTGGTACCACCAGGATCAGCCACAGATGCACCAACTGGCGCTACCACAACCACCATGAAGTAACCATCGCCACGATTGGCGCAACGCAACAACCGCCAGAAGACAACAAACGGGTCAGTCTCATCATTGACAGCGGCGCGGCTACACATGTATGCCCCCCTTGGTTTGCGTCACAAGTCCCACTACACCAACTAGCGCATGGTGCAGGACCACAACTGCGAATGGTGACCAACCAGCACATCAAGCTTCACGGGTACAGATGGGTTTGCGTGACAAACGACAGCGGACAACAGATTGTCATACCGTTTTACGTTTGTGAGGTTAAACAGCCAATTCTTTCGGTTACAAGGCTGGTGGAACAAGGTTTCCAACTTACACTGGATGACAGTCAAGACCACAGCGCATCAAAGGCTTCAACAGCACATTGGAGAACAGAAATGGCCTGTTCTTCCAACCAGCAGAAATCACAACATTGCCAAAAGGAACAAAGCTACAGATACATAGCGCAGAACAAGGACAGATTGGCATGATAGCACCGACCACAACGCTTACACCGCAAGGTCCTGCAGATACAGGATATGCAGGAGACCACTGGCAGTTCAACACACAAGGAGAACTTGTCAGAGTACACAGGCGATACAGGAAGACACTTTTCACAGCATCAAGAACACAGTGTCCAGTTCCAGCAGAGCAACTAGAGGATTACAGGAAAACAACAATCAGGTGCAAGGACGGCGCAACAAATACATTTGAGGACAAGTATCAAAACAAAGCGCAACCACAGATGTGGAAAGGTGAGACAGCCTTCAGGATCAAGAAAGGCACAATGTTGCCAGAAACGTTACAGCAACAGTTTACAACAAAGACACACCCAAGGAGCGAGCCACAGAGGATCGCACGACAAGTGATTCACTACGACCCAAGGACGAGGTTGAGAGAAAAAACAACACCACCAACGCTACAGGAGTCAGCAGCACCACATACCACCAAAGGTGCAGCTGGACAAGGAGTTCTACATCCTGGAGGAGACTACTGGTACAGAGAAGGCCCACACTGGAAGAGAGTATAGGAGACAGACCAAGAGAAAGACAACACACAAGATTGATAGAAGATGAATGGACATGCCAGCAAAGACATCAGATAAACTTTGAGCATCAGGAGTTCCCAACACAACTTGAGTCACATGATGAGGAACAAAAACAAGGTACAAAGGAAAAACAGTACAAGCGCCCAAGCATTCAAACTCAAGAGGTTCGTTCGGTTGAAGCCATTGTGAGCAAGGCTGCATCAAGGACAGCGTTCAGGAATTCTGCGCCCGCCGGCACTTTGCTTGCGGCCTTCACGCGATTGAACTTCTCCAAGCGTCAGGTGTCACGAAGGTGTCAGGTGCTTGCCAGCGCAAGGGGCGTGACAACAGCGGTCGAATGACCGCGCCACGCAGTAGCCGGCTGTGCTGCGCAACTGCCGGCACGTTGTCCAGAGTGTGCCATACGGGCGTGCGCATCTACGCCTGCATCGGCGCCATCCGCGCCTGTTTTGTTCCGACGCGTCCGCCGGGCTACGACGCCGTCAGCTTCGGATCAGCAGCCTACGACTCTGGATCGCAAACGTGGTTGCAAGCGCGACCGCCGGCGACGCCGGTCGGGCCGGTCTACCGCTCCCCCTTCGTTTGCGTAGCGCCATATTTTTCAATCTCTCCTTGGGACCACTCTTCTTGGTGGCGCTGGAAACAAGCCACTTGGTAGCAGGGTCACTTGGCGCGAAGGAGGAGATGCCCGTGAGGCCATGTGCCCACTGCTTGCTTCACGCGCGAGCAGTGGAATGGCTGGTGGCCCCAGCATGTGGCCAAGATGGCGCGCAATTCCAATGTCGTTTGGCTAGAAGCATCAGGGCCAACCTTCATGATGCAGGAGATGCAAGAAAGGGACTCCCAGCCCAGGTCCAATGCAGATGCTTTTCAGCAAAAGTAATACACGACAAAAACAATACTTTTTCAGTTTTGTAGCCCGGAAAGCCGTGTCTGGTGGAGACACATTCTAAGCTCCAGGAGCCCTTCCCACACTCCACTAGTGCCAGCGGTTTGGATTTAGAGGATGTGGAAATCTTTCTTCGAACCGAATCCGCAACTCAACAAGTATCATTTTGCTCTTCCAGCTTTTCATGTTTGCAGGTGATCACCAAATGTTTGGAGAATTGGGAGAGGCACGCAGTCTCGCTTTGGCAATTCTTGTTCCGACTGCGGCATAGATATGACCCTTTCAACACCATGCTGGTTCCGTTGCCCAAAGCCCTGGACTTCATCGATGCTGGGGCCTCATAGTGGCCTTGTGCCCTCAGAAGCACAGGTTCATGGTGCGTCGGATACGTTCATTGCTGCATGCTTCCAGCTTGTTACAATTTGTGAACTTGAGGAGACAGTGGAGGAGTTGATGCCCGCCCCTGAGAGCGCCATGTTGCCCTGAAAGCTAGGTTGAAACACATGTAAACTCAGGAATGCAAAGCAGCCGCAGAAGGGCCAGTGTGCACCGGAGCGCTTGGTGCACATTTGGGGGATGCTTGTGTTGGAGCTTTTCAGAGCGCTTTTGGGAGGAGTCCCGTTGGGACTCACGCAGCACCATAGCCCGGATCTCAGACTGGACAAGGCCAGCCTTGACACCCGAGCGACTTGGCTTTGAGGATATGAGCGCGTCTGATGCAATGTGGTCTATGTGGCAGCCTCATAGAATGAGTGACTTTTGTGACAAACCCAATTTGCTGGTGACAAAGCGAGGTATAACTTGCACTATGTTCGCACGCTCGGGCAGGGTCTTTTCGTCGGCATCGCATGGCATCGTTTTGTTTGAGCACTTTGGGCATTTTGGGCACTTTTTGGCAGGCTGCAGATTCGCGCGGACGGCAAGGTGCGGCTTGCGCCTGCCTCGACACCTGGACTCGAGATGGCAGGCCTTGTGTTCGATGCGCGTGAGGTGCAAGCCTTCAGGGCCATCATGCGGCTGCAGCCTGAAAGACTCTGACGGATCTGGAGCAAATCCGGGGATCTGGCAATCCGGGAATGGAATGTGGGAATGTGGGAATCTAGGCCAGAGCAAGGGAAGTGAAAAGTGCAAACCCAGGCGCCTTGTGATTAGCGGCGGCCCGTACAGCTGGGGCCTTTGCCGTGCTTTGAGAGCACGCTGAGTGCAGACGTGAGGTGTCTATTTGCCTCAGCATGAAAGACGGCAAAGGGCCATATCCTCACACAGCCGTTGATTTTGATGCCTTACGCGAGGGCCAGATGTGAGCGGATATGTTGAACGTTTCTTGTACATCAAACGAGCCAAGGTCAAAGAAGTAGAGCTTGTGGAAGCCATGATCCTCAACGCGGACACTGAACCGGTGAGCAGCTCTGCCTTCACAGATGAGCAGCTCTGCACTTCCGTTGCCCTTGAATTCCTCTCGAGGACCTGGCAGAGTTACAGGCGCTGGAAGCTCGACAGACAAGGCACATCCAGGAGGCGAAACGTCACGTTGAGCCGAGAGAGACGTGAACCGTTACGAGATGAAACTCGACTTTGCGCGAGATGCAAGGCACTGGGAAGCCCAGCGCCGATGCCAATGCGGGGTGGAAATCCTGGTGAGAGCAGAAAGCAAATCGGGCAGCGACATGAATCGCTGCTTCACTGCTTCACTGCTTCACTGCTTCACTGCTTCTTGCCCAGCATGAGACAGTGAAACATGAGGCGCAAGGGGAGGCGCTTCAGACGAGGAGGAGTTCGACATGCTGCAGAAGGAGGGGATTGAGATGGATTGAGATGGATTGAGATGGATTGAGATTCGAGCAAAGTTTCGAGTGTTCGGACAGGTTGCGGCCGCAAAGATCCAGCGACGCAGCAAGGAGTCCCTGCAGCGGCCGCGGCTTTGGACAGTGACGATCTTGCGGGGTGTAGGTCGTTGCAGGTCGCGCAGGTCGCACATGTCTTACACACCGTGCGTCTGTGTGGCGCGTGTCCGAGGCGTCGGGCTGGGAGCTTATGCCCGGAGATTCGACGGCCCTTTGGAGAAATCGATTTCGACATCTCAGGATAGGGCGCGGTCCGACAGCGTCACGGCCTTCGGGCATGGCCTTTCGCCTGGGAACGGTGCGATCGATATCTTCAATATCGCTTTTTCCGACTTTTTGCCCGCTTTCTCTTGAGATTGTGTTTGATCGGCTTTTGACTACTCTTTATTTCCTCCGCGCAAAGAGCGGGACATCAGACTTGTGAAAAGGGGCATCATATCCATGCAATACCTGTGAACAAGTCTTTGACATGTCGCAGTTGCGCCAAGGCCCAATCACCCGTGCAGCTGGCTGAAGCTTTCAATGAATCCCGGGCCATGGCAGACGTGTTCAGCAGACGTGTTCAGCAGACGTGTTCAGCAGACGTGTTCAGCAGACGTGTTCACAGTTTTTGGCAATGTCTAGCATATTTTCAGAATTTCTGGGGCCTTGTTCGAGTTGGACTCAGCAAGCTTGCAGACCGAGAAATTTGTGACGTGCGCCCGAATGCTTGCTTTGCTGTCTTGTGGCACAAGAGACTCACTCTTCCGCCCCCCCCCCCCCCCGCGTTTCTTCAGCGTTCAACATTGAATTCCAAGACAACGCACAGCCACGACAGTGATTGCTCCTTTCAGCAGTTCAGCCTTGGATTGTTTCAACACATGGCAACAATGCAATTCAAGACCGGGATATCGCTTCTGGGTTCAAACAGTGCCCACAGTCTGCAAGACAAATGAGGGGCACGTGAGAAAACCGGAGTTAGCAAAACAAGCTGTAGTTACTTCAAGTTCTCTCCTGACCTGCTGGAAGTATTTGAGCCGGGAAGCCAAGGGTGGGAGCAGACGGCAGACAGCTGCTGAACCTTTCAGGACTGCGGCATGCGCCGCGGGATTCTCCCCCTGGCACGAGCCTGAGCCCGTACGTCCTTAGGTCCTGTGCTCACGCGGTCTCACGCACGCGGAAATGACGGCATTTCCAAACGGAAAGTTCGGACGCCGAGGGAAGTGTCCTTTTGCTTCCTGTGGATGCTGCCGGCGTGCTGGGATCAGGCCGTGAAAAGGGAAGCAAACAAACAGAGAGTCGAGCGTGATGGCAGTCCGCAACTTGGTCTTCCTTCGGATCTCTTATCAAAGCCGAAGGCTTTTGGGGCTGCCATTTTTCGGGCATGGTGTGCTGGGTGTCCAAAACCCTGTAATTTTCCAGTGTTTTTGGGGCTTGCGTGCCAAACATATGCGTTTCACCTAGGTCGCTAGGGGTGTGTGTGTGTGTGTGTGTTGCTTTTTGTTGCACATTGACCTATTCACACACTCCGCTTACATGATGGCTCAAGGCCCTTTAAGTCATTGTACAGTCAATCGACGCATGGTACATTGATAAAAGGCTTGCAGACCGCTTTACAGGTATAACAGTCAATACAAGCCACCAGGGGTAATCCATCCTCCAATCCTCCATATTGGCATATTGGACTCTCTGGGAAGAGATCCAGGGACCAAATCAACGACCTCTATTACCACAGGGTACCAGTTCCCTTCTGGGATAGGCGCCCCGGCAGTGGGCCTCAATTTGTGGTAGCGGAGCGGGTTTTCCGCAGAGATCCAAGGGAAAATGTCATCCGACGGAGAAGGCTTCATGGAAGCCTTTTCAAGTATGGCCAAACCATCCGGCTATACGGAGGAAACACTCAATTTATCGATGACCGCCAAGCGGCCACAATCGTACGACGGAAAAGTCAGCTGGTTCAGGTATGAAGAACTCGTGGACAACTGGGTGACAATCACTACGGTGGAAGCACCCAAGAGAGGACCACTACTCAAAAGCAGACTCACTGGAGATGCTTACATGTACAAGGCAGTCCTCCAAAATGACCTTTTGCAAGATCCTGATGGAGTCAACTATTTCAAGAACACGCTGAAGAAGTACTTTTTGAAGGGTGCGACCAACGTGAATCTGTACAGGCTGCTCAGTTTCTTCAATCATAGAAGGCAGAACCAAGAGTTCCTCATTTTTACCTCAAAATTCGAAATCCTTCTCGTGAGATTGAAGGCAGCATGGATGGACTTGATGCCTGTTTTCACGGCACAGTCCCCATCATTTCGACAGTCCATACAGGACGCAAATGCAAGAACAATTGCTCGACATCAGCAAGCAGCTTGTACTCGAGTACCGCCTCCAGTCCTGCTCAATGAGGATGATCCGACAGTCTTCAGACAGTATATCACGGGAATGCAGGACAGACAGCGGGACGCATTTCCCTTCACGGATAATCTCATTGCGCAGTTTTTCATCATTCAGAGTGAATTGTCAGACCAGCAGAGAGAAAGACTGACCAGTGCAATGTCACGGAGAAACATTTCACTAGAGAACTACTCCTATGAGACGCTGAAGACGCATTACCATGAACTTCATCGCAACCAGGACATCCATTCAAGATCCATCCATCCGACCTCAAGGAGGCAACCGAAGCAACATCTTCTTCATCATCGAACAAGGTGAATACGAAGGGGAAGAAGGCTTTTGGGTTGAGGATGAAGAAGGACTTGAAGGATTCATGTCAAACAACGATGAAGAGACATTTGGGTCGTCGAGGAGAACGATGCGTTCATAGCAAGAAAAGTGTCAGGGCGGAATTTCAGATTCAAAAAGAGAAAAGGAAAGGAAAATCAGGAAACAAAAAGGGCAGTCACCAACGAGGTGGCTTCAAACCCTTTCGAAAAAGCGGTTCTGGCGGGGAGGCCAATATGGCCAACGAAAACTATGATCCCTACGACCAGGCATATTGGGGAAAGGCAAAGGAAAGAAGGGGAAGAAAGGAAAGTCCAAATTCCAATATCCCTATGATGGAAACAAGGGTTATCCATCCTATGAGAATGGCAAAGGAAAGGGCGGACATGACAAAGGAAAATCCAAGACGTTCGCAGCCATCGCAGGAAGACGGAGGAGCAGCCCGCCATCCAGCAGACTGCACCATCCACAGAGCCTACCTATGCCGGTTGGACAGACCAAGATTGGGGTCAATCATGGACATGGAACGAACAAGGGTGGTACTCATCCCATGAGACATCCAGCACAGGACAAGCGCTAATGGCATTCCATGACGCATATGAGCATCATGAGAAAGAGGCCATCCACGGGAAGCTGATCCAATCAGATGCAGTTTCAGAACACAATTTGTCCGTCGCAACAGATCACAGCCTTTTGGCAACCAAGCTGATGGCGCTTGTCATCAATCCTCAGCACAATCAGACCTATGCGATTCTGGACAATGGATGTACCAGATCCATGGGCAGCTGGCGTGCAATCCAGCGTTTTACTCAGGCCATCGAACCCATGAAAGACCTCATCTCCTATCCGTACATTCCGGCCGAGACCAAGTTCACTTTTGCAAACGGAAAACAGCCAAGGTAAATTGGACCTTGCATCTCCGATATCACACAACTCCTCCATGCAGTACCAACATCGACGTCCTTGAACAAGGAACTGTACCGATCCTCCTCAGCATCAGTCAGATGCGGAACCTCTACATGACCATTGAGCACACACCTCAATGTGACAAGATCACATGCAAGGCCTTTCGCATGAACCGTCAAGCAGTTCCAGTATCCGGTACAGGACATGCGCTCGTCGACCTCGCTGGAGTTGCAAATGTGAAATCACATGGAGAAATTGCCATCAAGGGCCTCACCAACTGCGTCTACGATGATGACAACAGCATCCGGTTTCCCTCGGGGGATATCTCCAAGAGTGAAACTGTTTGTGCGTCCAAGTCATCCGAGACGAAGGAGGACCTAGCAAGTCCTAAAATCATTGGGTCTCAAAAGCAGGACCATTGGATCCTTGACAAGAAGAACAAGCAGCTCATCCGTGTGCGCATCACGCCTCGCAAGGCGTTGTTCACACCAAATGGAGCCAAGGAATGTCCAATCAATCCTGATAATATCAGCCGAGAGCGTACTACGGAAATCACTGATGCATCCGAAGGTGGAGATCCAGACATCCTAGAAGACAATTGGAGACTTACATCCCAGGCAAACAAACCAATGATTAACCTGTGGATAGGTAAGACCATTTTCACCTTCGCGGACAATTCGCTTAAGGACGAAGAAGCAGGTTCAGGATCGGCAGCAGACAGGATCATCGACAAGAAGGGCCGGTCGACCATTGAGCCAGATCCTTTCGCACCATCCTCAGAAGAACCAACAACGCTTCCACTTGCACTAGGCAGAATCCACAAGCGATTATCAAGTCCCGAAGAGTTGAAGAAGCTCCGCCTCCAGCATCATCACATGACGACAGATCAATTTCGATTTAGAACTCGCTCGCTTCATTTGCCAAAATCAACATTCGACCTATTTGACAAAATCCGAAGTGAATGTGAAGTTTGCCAAGCGGCAAAACATGCACCATCACGAAGCCAGACGAGTGGACTTCGAGCGGACACCTTTGGTGACATGACATTCCTTGATCACTGTCAAGTTCCTCTTGGAACAGGAGAACACATCATTGTTTTTGTCATCCTGGATGGAGCAACAACATTGCTCACTGCAGAGGCAGTGACAACTACGCAAGAAGTCGAGAACATCACTGCCTTCAGGAACTATTTTGACCAGTGCCACTTGCAGCCCAAATCAGTTGTCGCAGATCAAGCCTTCATGACAGAGACATGGGAACATTTCTATCAATCCCTTGACATCACACCGATATCCTTGGGACCGAACACACCATGGCCAAATCGAGCTGAAGCTGCAGTTCGACTCCTGAAGGCACAACTCAAGATCATGCTAAGTTCCATCAAGGCAGGCACAGCACCTGCAACGCTGAAGAAAGTGACATATAGACAGCTGGTGAAGGCAGCTGCAACTGTCAGGAATCAGACTGTCACCTACGGGGGTGTAACACCATTGGAGCTCGCATTAAGACGACCAGCAGATCTCATCCAACTCGATGTCGCAACACCAACTCAGTTGACGATTGACAGGAATGAGGAAGAGCTGACAGCCATCCAGATCAAGCAGCTGTCCAAGCAAGCGTTCCAAGAAGCACGTCAATCCGAAGACATCCGACGAGACCTTGCTCAAAATCTCCGAATGAGTTACAAGGTATTTTACTGGCAGGAAGACAAATCCAAGATTCGTTCCGACGGGAGCTAGGGAGGAATATGGCTAAAAGGAAAAGTCATTTCCATTGAAGGAGCAATGGTAGGACTTGATCTTGGGACTCGACTCATCAAGGTTAACATGACGAAGGTCAGAAAGGATGAAACCATCCCTCCGGAAAAACCTGGAATGGATCTTCTATTGCCAGAAGCGCGAGAATCTTTGCAGAAGGAGCAAACCGGCTCCTCTGCCGATACCAAGAAGAAGGAGTCATCCGCACCAGCTCCTAAGCCAAAATCCTCAGTGCCATTACGTATCGCGGGAAAGACAGCTCCCAACCCTGCAGCACCTCATCCGGCAGAGAACATGTTCGTCGAGGACCTCACGTCCGTTCCTGAACAAGCACATTGGAATTGTGTACGAAAAGGAAAGATCCACGTTCTCGAGATCTTTGCAAGAAGTGCCAGATTCAGTCAATGCTGCGCACTCACAGGTCTTAAGGTTGGGACTCCCGTAGACATCCGCACCGGTTTCGACGTAATGACATCCAAGGGACGACGCATGGTCATGGAGATCATCAAGGAGCACGCGCCTGATGTAATCCTCATGGCACCGGTCTGTGGACCATGGTCAAATATGCAGAGCATCCAACAAGACCAGCAAAGAGTCTGGGAGAAGCGGAAACGCTATCTTCCCATGGTTGAGTTTGTGGCATCCATTGCGCGATATCAGTTGAAGCACGGAAGATACTTCATCATTGAAAATCCTCAGACATCCAAGATATGGTATCTGAACTGTATGCAGCAACTGTTTTCAGATCCATCCGTGACCTGGGGAGATTTCCATTACGGACTGAAAGATCCTGAATCCGGACTCAGAAGTCTCAAGCCCACGAGCTTGATGCACTGTTTACCTCCCGAGGTAGTGAGACCGATCTTTAGAAGGTGTAAAAATCC